GGTGTCTGGAAACAATTCACTTATTCTTTGCAGCCTATTGGGGTTCAGTTTCTCAGGGTCCAGTCCAAATGCCTTGCAAAATTGCCGCAGAGCAGTCAGGTCATTTCGGAGTCTACGTGCCAATTCTTCCGTCACTGTACTATCTAAATCTTTTAAGCAAAGATTGAAAATGGTATCTAGAAAGAAGGGGAAATAGGAAATGCGACTAGTTAATTTCCCCCAGCAGAAAAAATAGTGTAGCGAAATGATACAAGCAGTAATCACTTCGTTGTTTAAACGAGTTCATAAGAACTTCTAAGTGCGTCGATTCGTGGGTAAAGAAATTACAGTTTCAAAAAAAGTGCTAACTCTCAGAGTGCTTTCTCTTCGTCAGAGTGAATCGATTTAATCTGACCTCAGCTAGCGCTCGTGGGGTCAGCGTCTAACCTTTCCTTATATTATCAACTCAGTGGATTAAACCGAGAGAGAATAACGGGCCAGAGAGGCCTGAGCCCTGTCTAGCCCTTGGGATATGTGAATTTCACCAAAGTTATTTTTAGACCAATTAATTGAAACCAATCGGAAGATAGTTTTCGGAAAGGTCCAAAAATTGAGGAATTAATTCAGTCTTTTCAAGAGAGAATTCGATAGCTGCCATAACAATATTCTGCATTGTTTGCCTTGAGGCAGTCGCGCTTAGACTTGATGACATGATGAGGCGTTGGGAGAATTCTCGACGGTTATGCAAACCCTCGACTTCCTCTCGGGTTTGCATAACTGTCTCGAATTCTCCCAACTCCTCTCGTTTTTATATCAGGGTATACAAACACGGAAAACGTTTTCTATTGCTTAAATATGTTATAGCCTACTAGTAGCGAAAAGAGCCGGCTTTGAAAACCAAAACAATGGCGGCTGAATCACGTTTTGCTAGCTAAAGTTGTTTTGTCTCGATATTTTTTATCAACTAGATGGATTTTTCTTAAACAATTATTCCCCTCACCCTCATGGCCTCTGAGTTAATATAGCCCATTCAGCCTTCGGCCTCATGGGCTATTGACTCAGAGCCCATTCGGGCTCGAGGAATAATTGTTCATTAGACTTCAGTTTGAATACAACCTCTAACAATAACTTTAGTGAAATCTTACCGCTGGTTTCCTCAGGTCCGCCAAGTTCAGAAGGAGCAGCATGTGATCTTGATATTCCACTGTCGCTTGTTTCTGTTGTGAAGCTTTGTGTATCGATATCCTTGGTTTGTGCTAAATAATTCTGAATGTAAGCGACTTTCTCCCGCCACTCCTCCATCTGCACAACAGGACCTTTACATGATAGAATTAAACCAAGTGTAAAGGAAAACAAAATAATGAACTTAACTCTCTCTCTCCTAAACAGACGCTCCCTCAGGGATTCCATTAAAAAAAAACGATAATAATAAAAATAATTATTGTAGACGCGCGGGGAACGTTGGAAAGAGGGAAACGAGTCCCCACTCGCGCTTTCTTTTTCTCTCTTCTCAGCCTCCTGAAACCAAAAGAAGCTTCTGCATGTGAAAAGAGAGCGAACTGACGTAAGGAAAACAGAGCATCCAAAATACCCATCTAATCATATAATGATTTTTCCGGGTTCAGTGCTACCCAAGTTCACAACAAAAATTAAAATGATTTTCCTCTTTGCACACTTTTCCAGTTTTAAAATAGCAATTAGGTATCATCCGTGCGTTAACGTAACTGGAAAACTGGGAGAAAAAAAAACACCTTGTGCTTCTCTGATTAACTCCTCACGGGCTTTGTCGTATTCCTCTTCGTCGATGGTCACAATCACTTCCACTTGTTCTTCCCCGGTAACTTCTCTCAATTCATCAATGAAAAACAAAGCTTGGAATGATTCTTTAAGCGTCCCGTCTCTGTATAAACACCACAAGGCGTTAAGAGCTGAAATGTTTTCGGCTTGAACTTTGAGGATCACGCTCCCTTCAGCTATTTGCATCAGTTTAACGCCAGCAGGAAGGACGCAGGTATTAACAGCAGTTACGAACTGATCATATGTGCAGCCACGCCTCAGTAGCTGATAGGCAGAAGCTATAATTGTACCCCCGGCAGCCACTTTGAACAATGTCTTTATGTTCAGAACTGAAAATCAAGGAAGACAATAACAATTTTAAGTCAAAATAGTAATAAAGTCTCAAAAAATGTCCTCTGAACTCTTTTTTAAACAAACAATGCAAGACTTGAGCCCGGGGGTACTCCTTTATATAAGCTATATAGGTATGTTCTGGCCCATCGGGTAGGGTTTTTGCGCCGTTTTGGTCTGAAAGCGGGTATACACGTTGCCCATTTTGGTCTGGAAACGGGTATGGTTTTTGAGGGAACTACAGGAGTGTATGAACGTATTCATCGTTTCAATTCCAACTGAGTAAGAAAGAAAGAGAAGTATGCGAACTCGAAACGGATTTGAAGAATTTTTTTGTTTGCGCTCTAGTCTAAGTACAGTGATAACATAATTTCTGTCTAAAGGTCAGGTCTGAAAACGGGTATGGATTTTAGAGGTCTGGTCTGAAAACGGGTGTGGGAAATTATATTTTTTTGGTCTGGAATAGGGTCAGGTGTTGGAGGACCGGGCGGCACACCCCCACCAAGAATTCCCAGGAGTACCCTCCCCCCCCGTACTTGATTTGCAGGAGTGGAAATCTATGAAAGGCTATATGCCATAACCGAGTCTCTGAGATCAATTAAAACTGTCTGATAGGCAGCCAATGGAACTGGCGCTTGAGCGTGCGCGGCTTTCTCTCTCTCCAGATGTTCACTGACCGCTTCCACGTTCTTCAATTGCGCACTGAAAAGTTCAGACTGTTTTGAAGTCTATCAGCTATCTGATCTGAAGAAGCATTAAAACCAAGATATAGCTATGACTGAGAGTCCTAAAATAGGTTCACTAGTCGTGAAATGTTAAACAGTTTGCCAGTGTCTAAATATTTTATATCAGTACTAAACAGAAGATCTAATCAATCCTAACAAAAATTAATATATACTTCTCACTTATGAGAAAAAATCACCGGACTGAGATCTTTGTCTCTGTTCAAGAGGCCGTGTCTCCCCAGCGGGGGGCGGGGGGGGGGGCGTGGTGGGAATCCCCGTTATGTGCATGGAGCTTAATGATTACGAGCGCAACTTACCTCCAGCTAAATTGCTGCTGGCCGACGACGCTATCGCAACTGCTTGTGCTGAAATAATAATAATAATAATAGTAATAATAATAATAATAATAATATAATAATAATAATAATAATAACAATAATAATAATAACAATAACAATAATAATAATAAAGTCTTTATTGATCAAAAGATAAAAATACATATCTTTCGTTACAAGTAAGTGTAAGAAATTTTAAAAAGGTAAAAAATGAGAAGTAAAAAATCTAGTGTATTGCATAGCTAATTCATATTAACAACTCAACGATTAATAACTAGAGCTTTTAAAACGCATAGTGTTAATCTTAGGTCTAAAACAAGTTTCTTTCCTAAGATTGTAACTGGACCACTGTGGGTTCAACACGAGGCATAATAGATAAAAGTGGATGTCCTTTAGCATTAGAAACTTTTCCAGAAAATTTTACGGTCTTGCCTCTCTAAGAAATCATAAACACTTACAGGCTTAGACGTATATTTCCTTTTAAAACAGCGGTCTAAGAAACATTGTACAGGTATGTAAGATCGGACTTGGACGCGGCGTAGACAGTTCGTAATTAATAATATTACATGATGGTAGAACAATTTAATTAAAGAGAAATGAAATATTTCGTAATTATATATTGATACAGTAGACATTCGTTTGGTCCCTCTGAGTACAAAAAATGGTCCTAAAACAGGTTATAAGGGGGAGAAATAAGTAGAATCAGCAAAAACCGCCGCGACGGATCGTGAGGATATACCCAAAGAAGAATCTAGAACGGTAACAATACCTTTTCGCCATTCAAATTCTTCCTCTTGGTTTTTTCCGTCTTCAAATTCCTCCACTTCCCGAAGTAAATCAGTTTTCTCCTGTCGGGTCAAAATCTCCTTCAGGACTTCAAGGTGATCGATCCCTAAAGAGTCATTGTTTTCCAGCTCCTGAAACAGTGATCTAACATCTTGTATGCTGCTATGCTTTTCTTCCGGTATCCGATCATTGCAAATGGCGACAAGCTGTTCGAGACAATCGAGCTCGTCTAGAACATGAATAATTCTCTCCAGCAAGCTGTTGTATTCCTTTCGTTTACTCTCGAACGATTTGACATTCCCAAAAAGTGACCATTCTTCAAGGCCTTTTAAAAGGTCTTTTAAAATATTCAATTTATCTGCACCAAGAAAACCATTCTGCTCCAACTCTACAAACAACGGGAAGACGTCTTGCATGTTTTCTTCATCGCGAGGCGCCACCTTCCCTCTACACATAACAAGCAATTGTCGTCCTACATTCAACTCGTTCAGTCTCTGGCTTATTTTGAAAAGCAAATTATTGTATTCGATGGCAGACATTTTGAGGACCAGACGTACTTATTCAGGTCAACTTCTACCCAACCACGGCACGCGATGTGTCAATTTCTCTCCCTTTGTGACGCGTTAGAAAAGTGGACAAATCTATATGAAAGGTCACGCAAGGCGAAGTTTTGCAAATATAGAGTATATATATTGACTTACCATTTTTACAATAAAAACTTATTATCATACATTACCATACCCCAAGACAAAGGATCGAAAATAAAACTTAAGTCATGTACAACATTATACAAAGTAAATACCGAGCAAACCTTCGGCTATCGACATTATACAATATATGTTTGTGCCACAACTTGAATATTTTATAAAACTCGTCACTGGGGATAATTTTTCTCTCTTAATTTTGATAATAAGAAAAGATCTAAAATTAAACATAAACAGGATAGATTTTTCTCCATGAAGTGATATAAGAATCAGGTTAAAGGCATGTCCGGGCATACTGGTCAAACTGAAAAGAGAGAATTAGCTGTAGAGGCAGGCTCCCTTTTTTCACCACACCGAATGGCCTTTACTTGCCGGGTTTTTATACTTTATGTATACTGATGGTTAACGCTCCGCCGATGCAGTGAAATTAAATGAGACTCACGTTTTATACAGTTGGCCTAAAAAAATGCAGCTGTGATAATTAGATACATACTTCACTGGGTCTTGCTATAGTTAAGGTTCTCTTCGTGTATAGTAATCTCTCAGTGAAATCAATCCTGGCAAAGAATATGAGATGGAAAACGGCACTCAACAAAGTTTTATACTGGGGTGCTCCGCCCGAAGTCCAACGCCTTGTTCTTTTAAATACCATTTTTGTCCACAGAAAAGGTAGGTACCCCTCATGACAGTCTATTGACAAATGGTACCCCTTTCAAATACTGAACAGTGCTTCCCTGCCCCGTCATTTTAATATGTATAAATCAATAAACCAGGAAGTTTCGTCGTCATTTTTACACCGAAATGATAGATTTACCTACCCTTTCATGTACTTTAACCTTTGTTTAACTAGTGAAATCCCTATCCTTTAATTTTCTCTGAAAAAAAAGCGATTTAAAAGGTACCCTTTTCGTGTGGATTCTCCCCTTATAGTAAGATGCCATTAAATGGAGTAATTCCCCCGACAGCTCCATGGTACATGCAAAATGATTAATTCTAATAATGGAGAACGTTATCGAATTCAAGTACAATCGAACCCCGCTTTACGGACACTCGCGTAATACGGACACCTGGTTATTACGGACAGTTTCCTTGTCCCTGGGGAAAGCCGTTACATCTCCTCTAAATTCAACCCGCTTAATAGGTACGGACACCCCGTTGATACGAACATGTTTTCAAAGGTCAGCATTAACGGGATTTGTCTGTATACTGGCGTGTTTAGAGTTAAAACGACAAATACGTCCATACACCCCCATAGCTCTCGAAAACCATACCCGATCGCGATTCCAGACAAAAATGGGCAAACTCTACACCCGTTCAAGACCGAAACGGGGAAAAACTGATACCCCTTTTGGAGCAGCACATGTCTTTATGGCTTTTACAAGGGGGTACCCCCCGGGCTCATAGGAGTACACTAACCCCTAAAAAATTTATTATTCATTGTTATCATTATCGTTACCTTTGTCATCATCATCATTAGTAGTAGTACTACTACTACTAACAGTATTATCTTTATTATTAATTTAATTTACCTTGATCAATTGGTAAATCTAGTATGGTTCAGCGGATGTGTTTAGAGATGTTATTACGGACATTTTCTTTAAAGAGATGGTCTCTCAAATCAAATGAAAACTCTAACCGAAATTTGTCAACAAAGGCCTACAAAAGCCGACCACTGAAAAATTGACGATTCAGTTCCTGAGCGAATCGAAACTTCTGGATAGATACAGTCCGAAAATCGAGCTAAAATTTTCAGCTGATTTGCGATTCGCAGTTTTTTTCAAATTCGCAAATCCGATAAATCTATTGCAAAAGTCTGTAATTCGAAAAACTATCTACCCTCACCTCCTAGCGAACTGTTGAAACTCTTAGAACGCGGTGCCACATATGACTGTTTTGGATAGTGCTCGGCATGCAAGATCTTTGCGAAAGCTTTGTCAAATTTTCAATAATGTTTACGCTCCAAAGAAAACGGCACCAAAAATCCCCTGTGGACTCAATTCCGTCGAAAAGTTCTTCCCCGAGGCCGGTAGCTCTTCTGGTGTCATAAGAGTGCATGTGGTAATTTTTTGACAAATACAATGAAAAAGATGGCGGGAGTAAAAAAAAAGGTAACAGAAAGTAGCCTTTACTTTTAAAACCTCTTTATCGTATTAAATTTAATTCGTTACTAGAAGGATATTAGAAGATCGAGGGACGCCAATCGTGCACGCATTGCTGGCCGCAAACCCTAGTTCCCGTGAGGCTCTGGGAACGAGAACGGAAGCGGCGTGAACGCCATGATGTTCCATTGATGAGAAATTGCTACATTTTTAACCATTTTATGAGGAAAAATGTAAGAATAATGTAATATTTTGTCGCTGCTGTCTTCGTAATACTTATTTACTTCTTCTGTGGTTTTTAAGGGCGGACTTTGTCGCTGAGGTAGTTGGGAAATATTGCTGAATCCTGCTGAAATGACCCTCGTTTTTCCGCAGTCCTCAAGAGATGACCCCTGAAACTGTACGAGGTTGTTCACAGGTAAGATAAACATATTTTCCAAAATATTAAATTTTGGTTGGGCTGTAAAGAGGTGTCCTTTTAGTTTCTGAAACATTTAGCGAGCAGTTTTTAAATACTTGGCAGTGTTGTTTATGTTTGTCGCGGGAAATTCAAATAGGCCATTTCACAGTTATGGGCTTAGTGTCCCAGGCTTTGAGTGAACGTGAGGCTGAGATTGAGCTTGTTTTGATACAACCTCCTTCCTTTTCTAAAGCAAATTTTGCTTATAAAAATACTAGTTAGCACGAGGACAGCATGATTTACATAATAAAGCTTGTAGGGCTGTATCAAAACATTAACAAGGTCAACTCCAGCCTTGTTCTCACCTTGTAACTATAAAATGGGCTATTGAAGAGTTTTTAACTAACTTTATAAACACAATGGAATTGACCCCAGTATTTAGTCTAAAGTGCAGAGAGAACACAGATCAGGATAGCAGGTAATAAATCCTAGTTGGTTAATACGACTTTTATAGGTGTACCTATGTTTTTTAATATTACTACGAACTACGGCTGGATGAGTGTTGTCCTTTGTTTATAGCACTGGGTTGAGCCGTGCAAATATAGAACGTTAAGATTGCACTACAGACATTGGACTACAAGAGAAGAGGCGGTGAGCGAAACAACACGCAAAGAGTTCCTTGTTTTCATCTTCAGTTCACAAAAATGCAAGTACTTTGCATGTGATCTTATCTTCAGAATAATGAACAAATTCCTCCATACTTGGGGAAGCAATTACGTTGGGTGAAATTGGTGAACAAAGTTTTGGTTACACTTTTTTTTTTTTCGCCCATGAATACTTATGTCAAATATTAAAGAAATAACAGAAATTAGTGATAGAAGATGGACTTCTCTGATGACTGATGTAGTTTGAAGTAGTGAAATGCCAAGTTTCGATTATCTCAAAGATGTTTACATCATTTTCATTCAGCAAATGCGATGTAACTCGCATTAACTAAGGTTACACAAGTAGAAAGACACACTAACCACTTCGAACAAACATTATCAATGAAACTTTTCAAGTGTGAAGAGAAAATAAATTACCTGCATGATTTCTGTTCTTGGCCATCAAATCTGAATTCTGCGTATAAACAGCTAAGCTTATTCAAATATATGCATAGTTGTAGATAAAAATACAGTCACAACTTCAAGTGGTTCGAGTTTTTTAAAAGCGTAAATCTGAGCAGAAATTATACACACTTACTCACTTAAACCAGGTGAATTGAAAACTTTTTTACGAAAAGAGGAAATTCTAGAATTTCCGGGACCAAAATATGAGCAAAGTGTTCTCCGTAGTTGCAACTACGCGAAACAGCTCAAAAACCCACCGTAGCTGCTGGACTATGTGGGAAAAAGGAACACTCACATGGTTCTGATCATGCCCAGTAGCATGTTTAACCATAGTCGTAGTCCGTAGTCTCTATATCTTAAAGTCCCTTTTAGCTCTACATAACATTGGGTTACACTGCACTCATGGATGTGCCGCCTAAATTACAACCTGTATGTTTGTTAGCTCTACCTAAAGAATATATGTTTGGGTTACACTGCAATCATGGGTGTGCCACCTAAATTAGTTTTGGACAATGCTACAGTAGAACCCAGGTAATTCAAATCCTGAAGGAAAATGAAAACAGTTCAAGTTAGCGAGGAATTTGAATTATCGGGGTAAATTCCTGTGTGATCTTGATCAAGGGAAAAAAAAAGTAGTTTGAGTTACCAGGAAATTCAAGTCATCTGTGTTCGAGTTATCGAGGTTCTACTGTGCTCTCTCTGGCTGTAAGTTGCAAGTTGAAACAATGTATCTAGTGATAAAGAAAATAGTTGAGCTGACATATTGTAGCACCCTATCACAAATTTTTATCACAAAAGTGTTGCCATCTGATGTACAGTCTATGTTTGTAAGCTGTTCCTAAACAAAACATTGGGTTATACTGCAGTCATGGGTGTGCCACCTAGATACCAGCCCTTGTTTGTTATTAGCTCTACCTAAACAAAACATTAGATTACACTGAACTTATGGGCGTGCCACCTAATATAAATTATATTATAACATAACGAAAGTAAATCGCGCGCTCTGATTGGTCAGTTAGCCGCTACCATTTGCCCGTGGGTGCACGCCAAGAAACTGAGCAAGCGCGGTAAAATTTAGGCAAATTCAACAAGTCTCCTCTCCTGACGGTAAAATACACCAATGAAATGCACAAATGAAAAGTGGAAGTTGAAGAAAATACTAAGCTGTCGTTTTGAAGGAAAAAAGACAAAAGATCAAGCGACAAATTTGCCCAGGATGAATTAATC